GGATTCGACGGAGGAGTATGAGTTAATTATAAGTTGCGGAACCCTTTGTCGTGTCTCGACGAACTTCCCCTAGAATACTGCTAAGGATGCGCGTCCCGATAATATGCACGAAGATGAATAATTCTCTAATGCAATACTACGAATGACTATGACGTCGAATTCGTAGAAGTTTGTATTGCTTTATGCATACAAGGAATGTTAATGCTCTTAAACTTAATAATTAAGAACTTCATTTAATAAGACGTACAGCTATGGTAAATTGTAATTGTGAACTTAATTCTTTTTTAGGGTTCCGTACCTCAAAAGGAAAAAAGGAACCCGTATAGGATCACTTTGTTGTCCGTCTGTCTGTCCGTTTTTTATTCTACTTATTTATACTAATATTATAAAACTTAAATTTTTGTTTGTTTGAACGCGTTAATCTCCAGACCTATTGGTTCGTGTATTTGTGTTTGTTAGTCCATTTATCGAGAAAAGTTTTAGGCTATAAAACATCACGCTCCGATTTGGATGAGCCAAGCAGCAAGTAAAATCGGGAGAGAAGCTAGTTATAAATATGGAGTTTCTATTCATGAGGATACGCCGACTGCACCGTATCTTGTATACCTGCAAACAGTATATAATAATATTATTAATTAATATTATGGAAAGTCCTATTCAACGAAATACCTACATTAACTAACACAATCCTTTTGGAATTTGGCTGATCCAAAATATATTATGTCAACCCTACCTTTTGTATTATTAGCTAGAACTAATTAATCAGGACGTGAATTTAATGCACTTACTGAAACATCTACAGCAAATTTTTGTTCCAGCTCATTTATTAGAACGCATTCACTCATAGTCACACATGAAATGTTGCCTACAACACCTGTTACAAATTCCTCTACATTTTTTCAAACATACGCCGTATGTTCCTGTATACGAACGACACATACGTTGTTGTCATTCCTGCCTGCGATAAATGACATCATTTATTCCACCCTGTACCTATACTGTGTTCCCTTCCACAGCCCTGGTTACCGGATATGTCCGCACTTGATATATTAATACCAATCCAGTGTTTCGAAACGATTCGATATGGAATTTTCGTATTGTAATCTAAAAGTCTGTTTATGTTTATAGATGTAGATTTAGTTAATTTTATGTAGATTGTGGACTGTTTTATGATGAAATGGAATGTATGGAAATAGCAATAATAGAACTGCTTTGCATAAAAACAGAACATTTCTATGAAAAACCGGTTACCTATCTTAAGGCATAAGTAATAGCGAGTTTGCTTTGCATTAACACCTTCGAAACGTTTCAGCGTCTAGCCCTCTGATTGATAAACGTGTCACTCGCAATAATGTAACGCAAACTCACACTAGGAAATCTGCAATTGAATAAAATAGTACCAAATATTCCAACATAGGGCGTCTCCAGAGCTAGCGCCATTGTAGCAGTCAAGTAACAAAAACAAAGTAAAAGAATTCATAGTTCCGAAGCAGAAGAAAGAAAGGTGGTTTTTAGTCAGTAAGAGCCTGAAACTTCCTCTCCCACCCAAGGCGAGAGTAGATCCCCAAAAACAAAGCACCATGCTCAAATAAGTATGTGTTTCCCGCATGCACAATAACTGATTATATTGTTTATATGCAAAACAGTTATCCTAAAATTCTTCTTGTCTTCTTCTCGTTCATGTGTTTCTCTTCAGAAGATCGCGCCCTTGAAAGGCTTCCATTGCTGTATTTATCTGTTATTTTCCTCCACCTTTTTAACCTTGGCTTCTTTCAGGTAAGTAGGTATTTTATAACAGAGACCCGGATTATCACCCTCGCCCAAAGATATATAAATTCATCAACAATGTAGTAACATCTGACCGAAATCCAAGGCCTTTCATTATACTTATAGTACTTAATATATTCGTTACAAATATTAAAAAGAATAGGGAATATCTTACATCCCTGTCTAATACCTCTTTCTATCCTAAACGAACCCGAGATTATGTCATTCACATTATTTTATGAACTGTCCATCGTGGTACAAGTTCGCGATTAGTTTTATTATGTGCGTCCTATTTCATCTAGGATAGACCATACGATCCCATCTTACGCAGTCAAAAGCCTTTGAGTAGGTGATGAAGCACTTTTTTAATAGTTATGTAAGTATGTGTTGTCAAAACACACAGCATTTGTGCGAAGATTCTGTTATTATCTGCTGGAGGTCAAAAATTACAAGATGCTGCTATCAAAGTCAAAAAGCACTTTTGGACATCAAAAATATAAGTGAGTCCAGTGAAATTCCTCGTTCCAAAGTGTAGATCCCCATAGAAAAGAAACAAGCAAAAACTAATTAGGGGAGAGTCGGGTAGCCACGGACACATAAACAAAACTCAAATTATTTTTTAAATGAACATTATTAGACATTTATTTAGAATCAAACCATTAAATAAAATATATATAAAGTATTTTAGTACAAGTAACGATCCGATAATTCCTTAATCTTAACTGTAATCAAGTCTAATAAACAGTATTGTATTTTTAACAATATTTTTTTGGCGGGTAGCCCCGGACATCATTTATTGGTGATGATCAAGTGGCTTTACGGCTTTTCAGACGTCACAAAAATAATAAACCTGTGAAGGATCAATATCTACGCATGCTTCATGCTCCCAGTCTTTGCATTTATTTTATGACATTGTATCCAATCTACTTCAAATGTTTTTCCACAAATAATGCACTCGGTATTTTGGTCTCTTGACAGTTCTTGGATGTTCCGTTTGGTTTTCATTTTATTTTTCCCTTTCCCTTTGCCCTCTTTACAGTCTCTGCCGCTTCAGATTCGTTACCTAATATTGTGTGTTTTTTAATAAAGATTATTTAAATGGAGAAGATGACAGAATTTCTCTCTTTTGAGTTTTTCGTGAACGCGTCTTTGAGTCTCCCTAGTTTTGGAACCAAGTTAACCTCTTGTCGAATATTAAGTGCTTTTGTTCGATTCCGAAGAGTACTCGGCACCTGACACCTGCCATCTGCTTCTCCCAAAGAATAGTTCTTTTCTTTAACACTTGTATAGCCTGTTTCATTTTATCTGCATCCAAATTCCTTCGTTTAGTGACTCTTTCCTCAAATTTTGGCAATTTCCAGAGCTTCTGCATAAAATATCAGTAATATCAAAAAACGTGATATAAAAATTTTAATATAGATTTTCCTTCAGCTCAAAAAGTGTCCGTGGATACCCGACAAAATTGTGTCCGGTTTTACCCGACCGTCTCGATCCAACATTCTATTTATTTTTAAAAATACTATAAATCCCATCGACATAGAAAACATACCCTTTTAACTGTGACGATTACTACATAGAAAAATTTATAAATCACGCTTATGTACTTATATTCAATATCTATAAACTGTATTTAAAAAGTAAACGGCGTAAGAAAAAATGTTCGGTGATGAAAACAATCAGCTGTCATTTATTGTCTGCTCGACGAAGGTGGCACTACTGCGGCGAATATTCAACTAAGCGATGCTCCGAATGTTTTGATGTTTACACTGTTTGTCTATGTATGCCTGCTTGCCTGGGATAGTCAGTGGCCGGGGCTACCCGCCGGCCGGGGCTACCCGAATCTCCCCTAATCTTTTGCAGTCAGTTTTACAATCTTGATTTATATTTTCCTCTCATCATCATCATCATCATCATCAGCCTGTTGTCGTCCACTGCTGGACAAAGGCCTCCCCAATTGCACGCTATTTTTTTATTTCAATATTTTCCTCTAAAAGACAGAAATAGAAAAAAGACTTAAGGATAATAACTAAGTACCTAAGGTTTAAAAAATATCAGATCCAATTGAAAGTGTCCGTTAAGAGCTTAATCCGCCTTTAACACCGCCCAAATCAACCACATAATAGATATACATAGAATCGAGTCGAATGCCTGTGACAACGGCAATAAGACTTTTGAGTTAGCAGGACAACTCCAAGCTATCCTCTATTAATTTTGGTTACAGGACACTTACATTTACAATATCTAATTAAGTACCTATCAAGTTACATCATAAAGAAATATAGTTTTTCATCACAAGATTAAAATTCATTACGCATACGTAAATGCATTACGACACACGGGTTTTCACACAAACTTTCAATGATCATGATACCTAAGTACCTACTGGATAGATTTTAATAACACTTGATACCTACTCATTCGTAATATTGAGGGCTAAAAACTTAGGTAGGTGCATATTAGGTATTCCTATAATTACTAACCATCAATTTCTTTATATTAAATTAGGAAGATCTTTAGGTTGGTACAACTTGTAAAGAAGTTTCAGCCTATATACATATCTGTAGGTAGGTATTTATGATGAAAATAAATGCGTATAGTTTAAGACTTAGACTTATCGCTAGTGAAAATTGCAGTCAATTTTGTTCAGCATCATTGATTAATTCGAAAACAAAACAACAGACATTATAAGTAATTGACTAGGTAGGTAGATCTTTAGGTTTTGAGAGCTAGGTTTCTGTTCATGTTATAAAGACCCATTTTAATTTTGTTCCAATATCTTTGATGTATATTATTATGTAGACATCGACTTATCTTAATTTCAAATAATAAGTTTAGATACCCACAACTTTTACACAAACTAAAAGGTTCTAATATTGTTATCGTAGTAGTACAACTGTCGAGTTAAAGTAGCGCCACCTACATTATAATGCAATATTAATAACAAGCCTACTCGTTTCTGTGCACCATTTCATTAAACCTATACTTCCTACACATTTAATACTACACAAAATGTGAAAATATAAATGTAAAATAAAATAAATCACAACTTTAAAAAAAGTTTGATCAAGAATAAGATATTAATATTAATATTCGAAACATCACTATGTTAAAAATAATTAAATTGAATGCAGCATTCATTTTAGCACAGTCATTCATTTCTGTACTCGTCTACGAAAATCGATAATTCAACCTTCCATGTTATGTGTATTCTGGCAACACTTTGTCTATTCATTCGGTGGGCAACACTAAAAATCTGTCAATATTTCAATAATCCTCGTTATCATTCCGTCATTCCCCACGGGAAAATATACGTAAATTGTTTGCAATATACAAAAACATAAAAATCATCTGATATTGGTGTAATAATAATGTGGAAACGAATTAAAGAAACTCATTATTTTTTATTGTTTTCTACTGATCATGGGTATGAAATATGCATCACAGACAACATTAACGTATGGACCACCTTGTATTCCCGAAGCGAATTCCTAGCTAAAATAAAGGTATGTGATTTATTTGTATTAATTTTTCTGTGTCCTCCTTTGATCTGATTCCTCTAAAATATTGCTGTGCTTAAATTTCTATAGCCGATTCGATGATAAGCCCTAATATTGATAGGGTTTTTCAGTTTTGAATAATTTAGTACTTTACATGAAGTCTAGATTTTTCTCAATGTACCTATAGCCATAGTCGGCGTCGTCCGCCCCGACGCCCCTATTGCGCGAGACTATTAACGTATGTAGTCGACAGTAATTGGATGGAATATTGATGATGCCTGTATTTGTTGATATTATTTTATTGGTTTTATTGTTTTGTCCCTTTGTAACAAGTATGATATTAATAAATGCTGAGAAGACACAATCAATCATTAAATGTCATGGATATGGACAATTAATTCATTCTGCCATTTTGATTTGATGTTTTCATCAAAATAATAAATATTAATACACCAAATCACAAACCATTTTGATTGTTAGGTTTAGCCTTGCCCCTTAGCTAATCAATTAATGTATTTATTTTTAGAGAAGTAATGAAGGCCTTGAACTGCCAGATGATAATGAATATCTTCAGAAAGGAATCCATTTGGTTTCTAATATTGATTACTTGAGGAAGTTTGATATATCAAACAGGGAAAATGGTAAAACTCTGTTAATTTCACTGACTATGTCATTTGGATATCCATTTTACTTGAAATGTAAACTCACAAAGGGCTCAGATAAGCTAGTAAGTATATTTTTATAATTATTTCTTTTATTTAATTGTTTAATGATTTAAATTGAACTTGATTTCCTTGATATAAATGTTTAAGAATGAAAATTCCTCTATGAATATTTGTTTATTTATTATAAAATAACATACATATTATGCTAAGCACAAAGTCAATGCAATATATTTTTACAAAATCATTTAATTTTCTACTGTGTGATGTTACAAGTATTTTACTAATATTTACGTAATAATAATGTCTAATATTGTTTAAATTATAAATTCAAACATTAAGTACTTCTATGCTAACAAGTTATCTTGTTCATTACAGTTTTACCAAAAAGTCACCCGGCCATTGCTGAAGTCAATTTGTGATTTGCGTGAGAGCCAGAGTGAGCTACGTCGCTTGCTGATAAAGAAGGACACAGAAATAGAAGAGTACAAATCTGAGTCAGGGGAAGTTGCCAGTAAGGAATCAGAATGTAAATTGCCCGAGTTGTCACAAACAAGTTAAAACTATATTTTTTTACACTAAGGGCTCATTTTACAATAGTCAGATAAATGTTATCTGAGGAATAGAATTGTTGCTGTCACTGTCTTATACAAACATTCTGATGCGACAGCATCATAATTATTCCCCAGATAAATTTTATCTAACCATTTGAAAAATCAGCCCACACTTGTATATTTTACAACTTGAAGTTTGTGGCACTAAAGTGATCTCATTCATCAATTAAATAATCCAACTCTCACTTAACAAATATTTATGAGTTTATAAGACTTTTAATTAGAACTATAAATGTACATTTAAAATTCTTATTTAGATTTGCTTTAGCTAATAAGAACTATTTAATTTTGAGATTAATAAAAAGACTATGTATAAGTTGTAAAAGATAAAGGTGGAAAGCAATCTGATGTTGCATTGGGCGGGGCACACAACTCTTAGAAGTGATGGCCAATGAGCTCAATAATATATAAGAAATTCACCTGCAAGGTTTGGACGCACGACCTGCTTAGACTTACGTATAACGCAAATTGTAGGTCAACCCTTAACACATTCAGTGAATGTGTTAATTGAAAAAGAAGGATCTGATGAAACAACATATGTACATAATTAATTATGTATGTTGTGTATGTAAAATAAAGAAGTTCATCATTTAAAAGATTTAAAAGAAAAGTCTATCTGTTTCATATTTATACATGAATGTAAATTGTATGAACTATTTGCTTCCGCTAGCGGCTTCGCCCGCATGGTATGTTGATAAAGTAGCCTATGTCCTATTCCGGAGTGTATCCTATGCCTGTGCCAAATTTAATCCAGATCCGTCCAGCCGTTTTGGCGTGTTTGAGTAAGAAACATCGTAACTTTATAGTAAGAAGTAAGATACTATAAGGTAATGTTATGAAATACAATTTGTAATTTTTTCTTCTAAAATCGTTCTTGTCTTTTTTCAGGGTACCTGCAAACTGTGCCATTCAATGATGCTGAGCACATGTTCAAGCATAAAGTTTATGATGAAAACTTTAGTCTGTCTCCAAAGACCATTACTGAAAATGTCAAGTATTTGGATAATACAGTATTGTAAGTAATTTTGACAGCCTTTAAAAACAAATACTAACACAGTACAGTACTTTACATTTCTGTTTAGATTAAATTGGAAAATGTATTAATTGTATGATAACTACCAAGTTTTCTGCCACAAATACATTTTCTTATATAAATCCACTTTCCCTATTCACATTCCTAAAAATAGGTTTGAGTCATATAAAAATGTATTACCTAATTTCAATTATCAATTTCCAGGAGGCAAATGCAAAATCAAAGTCAAAATCAAAACCAAAATCAGGCACAAAATCAAATTGAAGCGGTCAGACAAGAGCCTGTGCCAAATGTCAGACCTGAGCTAAGTGCAAGACCGGAGCCACAGGTTGCTGTAAAACAGGAACCTGATCTGATTGAGCCAGATACCACAGTACATATTGATCCAGTCCCATGTAGGAAGAATGGAATTAAGTCTGAAGACGGTGATGAGACAAGTGTATCTATCACTGCTTCTGTTAGCTATCAACCAGAAGTACGGAGGGAGACTCTGCGGCCCCATGTGCCACGGAAAAGAACAAAATTCAACCTCTGATAAGTAACTCACCAAAGATTTTTGTTCACTATTTATTTAAAAATAAAGCTTTATTTTACTATTATTATATATGCTCACATAAATTCTGTTTCTATAGAAAATTGCAGTATTTCAGCAGTGTATGTATCAAATGTGTAGTTATTTGTTTTTATGATGTTGAAGTCAAAAGTATAGGTAATAATTTGTTTCAAGCATTTATTAATTTCAAATGTTTGGTTTAGTGCTGCAACAAAAAATACAAAAAAAATGTAATAATTTGAATTTTTTTTTTTGGAATATACATATTTTATGTTTTGATAAATTAATTTGGTATGCAGTGGAGAAAAGGTTGAATGGAATTATTAAGTCAGTAATCAGTATGTATGTGAGTGGTCTTTTTTGCCGTGCTACCTACTAGGACTGAAGGAAAAAGAACTGGGTTTGTTAAATTATGAGAGTATGGTGATTTTGATATGCTACAGATGTGCGCTGTTGTTGTTTGTTTTATTTACAAGTAATTTATATATAAATGTACTAACTAGTAAATCTTATTACCGTATTTAAACATTACATTAAATTCCGACATTTCAGTGTTTTGTAGTGATCACCGGATATTTAATAATATCTTATAGTTTTTAATGTTTCAAAATAAGTGTCGTGTAATAGAATTGCTGTACTTTCCACTGTATTTTAGTCATTAAACAGTATTTTATATTATTTTTATAAATATTTTTATGCAATTAATATATAAATTAGATTTATTTTGACTGAAAACTGTTTTGTATTCAGAACATTTGATGTGATGTAATATGTTATTTTAAGTTTCTTTTATTTTTACGATAGTAATGAGTTTTTTTTTCTTATTTTCATAATAAATATTATTTTGTCCTTTTCAAAGAAATGGATAATTGGTTTATGAAATTTGTTAATCTGTCATAATGTTTTTATTTAGTTTTACGACCTTATTTATCGTGATATACTGTTTTCTATAGTATTTAGCATTTTAAATATAAAAATGAATGTCATATCCTTACTTTTTAGAATTATAATAATGTCAAACGTAATATTAGGCCTCTGCCTATAAAATATCTGTTAGTTCAGTAAGTTAATAGAACAACTGTATACTGTATATATAGGACCATCATTATACTGAAATAAAAATGAAATAAACGATTGATTTTATATTAAAACTTTTATTATACATTGAACTGTTAAAATCTATTATTAGATTAGTTGTGCTAGTGTGAAAATGTTACAGCTAGTGCGTTTATTGGAGAAGCAACTAACAATGTAGGTATTAATCAACAAAACAAAGGTAAGCTTAATAATACAACTTTTAATCGATATAGTTTTAATACAGATGTATGGATACCTCTACCATGAAGTTCTTATCAGCTAGTGAGTTCATATTTCTGTTCGAATTTCGAATTATATATTAAATTTTCTTCACAATGTCCGATTGGATGCCTGTTATCTAAACTGTTATTTTTAACAGATGCCACTTTGAAGATGAGTCTTAATATGTCGTCGTCGTGCTTAATATGTCATTTAAAACGTGATATTTGCGATTTTTTATGACCAGACATTGTGAAATATACTCTAACAGCAAATTGTAAATCATTTCATTTCAAACAGGCCCTTTCAAACAACCATTTCAAGCACTCAATAAAATTTATTTTTGACAATATTCGCAACTTAATTAATTCGTTGTTCAAACATATTGTAGCTCTTTTAGCGTTGGTACAACATTAAAACTATAATGTGATTTTGACGGTTGCTTGGGTATCGTTAGATATACCTATGCCTAAAGTGATAACCAATATGAAAGCAGTTAATAAAAAACTGCTTTTTGTAATTTTGAGAATTGTAGGTACCGTACTATATAAGAGATGATTTTATTATACCTATTAGGTACCTAATATAGATATCAAAATTTCAAGCGACATTTTTACTGTCCAGCAGTCTTGTCCTGGGGCCAGCCCTAAGATGACTTGCATTAATTACCACGACCCTCCATTGGTCTTTTCCAATACTATCCTTGACGATAATATTTGTTTTATTAAATGCTTTTATACATAGGTACAACGTAAGGTTGACTGTGGGGTTAAACGACGTGGGAAAAACGACTCAACAGTCGTGAATCTTTGGCTTATTTTAATTCTGATTTCGAAAGTACCTAGAGTACATAGTAATTCGCAGGTTAGGACGCTAATAGGTAGGTCCTATTGTATTCAATTAGATTAAAATGTTTAGACTACATTTTTTTCATCAGCATAGTTTGTTAAAAACAAACTGATGGTAACCACTTGGTATTTAGGTTTCTATTGTAGGTAATATTTATTTTCTAATATTAAGGTAGGTAGGCAAAAATTTGTAGAGAGGATAAAAAGGAATTGATTAAGAAGACCTCTGATATTTTAATACTATGAGTACCTACTAAACTTGATATTTATAATTATACTATAATAGATAACGGTATCAACATTCCCACATATTATGACCTAATAATATCTAAAGCTTAGAATATTTTCTCCAATACAACCGCATTAGTTGTAACCTTTCGCCGAATGAAAATGCAATTATTAACAAACGCATCTAATACAAAACGATTTCCTATATATTTTTAAATTCGTTAGATATAATAATGTGCTTGAGTCTATATTTGCTGAGCAAGACTGACAGTCGCGTAGGCTTCATTTATAATGTGTAAGTATCTATGTTTTTATTTTCAAACCTACATCGTTGAGTAAAGACATTCTCACTGTCCGTAGATGTTGAGGATTTCGATAAGTTAAAAGAAGGTGAATAGAACCAACTTTTTGCTGTTATTCAGTTCAATATCCACAATTACGTAGGTACCTAGTACTTATTTGCGAATAGGTATCTATTTACGTATAATCGGGACATAGACATTTCCTTATCTATAACTAAATCCATGGTAACGATGTTTTTTAGTGAAATTCGGTTTATTTATTTCTTAAAATTGACAATTACTATTGACTAACTACATGACTTTATTTAATTCATAGGTAGGCTTAACAAGTATTGAAATCTAAGTACAAATTACCGAATTTCACTATAGCCTTTATAGCTGGATCTTTCCACCTTCTGTAGTCTTGTTAGAGTATCTCACGTTGCACTTTATTTAAAGGATAATATGGAATGAGAATGTTCATAAATCAATTTAATTATGAGTGCACTCAAAATCGCGCTTTAGAGCGGGTCTTATACGCAGGACCCAGAATGCACCCCTGTGGAAACCTTAAATCCTGTGTCAATTGCAGGAATAATGGAATTCACAACTGTGCATACTGGGCCGCTAAGATAGCACACAGAATGCATAAAGCGATCACTCCTACCCTCTTACCGGTGAACTACATTGTTAAAACGTTATTACAATAATAAATTGAACTAAAATCTAAATGTTATTTTTAGCGGTAAGAGGGCTTTAATTGAAAACTAGAGAAACCGTTTTCTGATTAGTCAGCGATCTGGGGAATTGTTAACCAATGAGAAAACGAAGTTCTTTCGTCGTCCTGACGCACGGTTTGGGCGCTCGCCAATATTAACATCTGAGATAAATAGGTAGTAAGTCTGTTTCTTCTGTTATTCTTTGAACTCTAACTGTGTTTTTCTGGGTAGTTCCGAATATTTCAAGTAAGACTTTGACTTTACTTGTTTCTTTAATTTAAACATTTAGGTACTAAGTATTATTTGAAGTTTTCTGTCTCTGTCTTTATTACTCTACTTAAACTTATATTTTAGTCGCGAGGTATTATTGTATCAATGTTATTAAGAATCTTACTATAGAAACCTCAAACAATAAATCAGACAAACCCGTATCTCAGGTGAAAATATAACCCAAATCGTTCGGTTCAAACAATTGCGGTCTACATGAACGCGGTGATGCTACATGTACATTAGGTTAACAGCTACATTTTGACACGTCTGTCTCAGATTCAGAAGGCTTGATTACGTTGTCTCTTTCCTTCAACTCAAAAGCATCCGCCTGCAAAGATAAAATGAAGTTGTTTAAGCATGAATTGTAATTAATAGACAGTATAAGTATAGGTACCTAATAAGGGATTGCTATAGTCCTTTTGGGAGTAAGGAAGTTGTTGTTACGGATGGAGATAGTCTCAGTCGGGAGATAGATCCGAACTCAAACTTGTAGAGTTTTTCTTAGTATTACTTCGTTGAAATAGTCTATTGTCCTTAGGTACCTTAGTCTCTCGGTATTCTCTGATTTTCCTTGCTAGCGTCAGAAATGCTTCTTCAATGTTTATGTTGCTTTTACACGACACTTCGAAGAACGGCATGTCGAAATCATCCGCTATCTGAAATTGTTAGATATTATGAATAGTCAAGATCAGTGTTCACTGGTACAAGGAACGTAGGTTATGGGTTGGGTACGCGGTGAAACAGTTACCATTGCGTTTGAATACGCGTGCGTCTGTTACACACAGATTACAGATTGTCTGAACTAAAATGAAGGCACTCATTTTCAGCCATGAGTTTATTTTTACGTCTTAGTTATCCACAAAATACTGAAATGTTTTTAAGCAGTTATAAACTTACATCGTTGACACCTTAACATTGGATTAGGTCTTAATCAATTCTATCAAGTAAGACTTTGTTATTAACTTTTATTTATTTAACCTTCATCTGCATTCCTTTGAGGCTAAACCAATCGGAGATCTAATTATAATTGCATCGTTATTGATAAAAATCGTGATTTTTTTGTTAAGCGCCTACCTACCTACTTGTTGGCGTGTTAATTGTGAGAATTATATTGTTAAAGCGGTAAATGGTTATGAGGTTAAAACCATATCGAATTGCAGTTGATTCATTCGATTATATAAGTTAATTGATATTGAAAATTACCTTTTGGCCTCTCTCCTTGGGAACTGCTCTGTGGTTCTCGTGCACATCACACTTATTTCCAACTAACACCTTGATGACATCGGGGGATGCATACTGTAATTAATAAGAATGAACAAATTATTGTAAATCTATTACTTACAGTTCCTTTATTAGCAAAGAGATTAGACAGTTCCTTTTGTATATTGCCTGTATCAGGGTATAATGTACTATTTATGTAGACTCAAAGGTTCGGTTCACGGTTCCTCGGATGGTGACTTAGATTATTCAGTATTTCTCTTTCTCTCTATTGTTCTTTTATACATTGTTATATCACGCCGACTATCTATTCAAAATAAATTTTCACTTTCTTCTTTTTATCAAAAGTATAAAGGTGTCAAAATGATGGCTTTCTTGGCGTTTCGAATCTTATGTATTTTCAAATATTCATACAGGGAACAATAAATATTTTGGTCTCAAAGAGACTTCACAACTAATACGACATTATATCTTTTACCTATGATATCCTAAGCTTCTTAACGGCAATTTCGACCATCAACATGGAACAATGGAACATTATCGTCTAATAGATTATGTCTCTAAGTTACCAACTACTTATCAACTTTTACGTACGTTTTACAATCAATATCGAATCCTTCATCACTAATATCATTGTAAAATATTGTCAAATTGTTTCTTCATACTTTTAGTCATAAATTTTAAGAATAATCAACCATTTTATCTTACCTCTTGGATGTTCCTCAGCCAATAGGAGAGATGATTGAATGATTCGAGATTAGTTATATCGTACATCAGTATAATGCCCATGGCGCCGCGATAGTACGCAGTGGTCAGTGTTCGAAATCTCTCCTGTCCAGCAGTATCCCATATTTGGAGTTTGATTGGCACACCGTCTAAATTTATTATCTTCTGTTTGAAGTCTATGCCTGGAATTGTTATGTAAGTGTGGTTAATGCAACTGAATTGGTTGTGTGGTCATTTTGAATACAAAATTCAACCTGTGACAATATGCGTTTGTTTAGTAATCAACTTCTTAGTTAGTTTAGCGTAGTTTTTTTACAAAACGTTGTCGTGGACTATTCTAGAAAATCATTCTTCTGTTCAGGTACTGTTGTACTAAGAATACATGATGGTGGCATACCTACACCCACATGTGGTCAAATCGTAGGATTAACCACATCGTAAGTGTCGTTAAATTGTCTGTTTTGCGTCTTTTGTTTTATTTGTTTTATAATAGTAGGTAGGCACTTATCTTCAAACTAGGATTTCTTCGTTTTGAATATTATGAGAGAATAGAAGCGATGCTAGTTGGAATAGTTTGGTGATCAGATGTTCTTAAGTAAGAGATCAAAATGTATAATTTATTCCGTAAAAAACAGTTAGGTTGTGCACCAGAGCGTAACTGCTAATTGTGAATGATACAATTAAGCCTTGTGTCGAGGCACCGAAGCATAAGATAATGAAAAATATTAAATTTAAAAGTGGATTTGTAATATTAAGAACAAACAAAACTTAGCTATTGATTAAAATACATTTAAATGCGCAATATCAGATCCATGTTTAGTTTAAACGTAGCAAGATGCATTTGTATGGAGAAAGGGGATTGTACCAAAATATATTCACACTTAAATAGTTGAAAGAATATTGAATTGAACTAGATATCTGAATGACAAATGCGTATGTATTTATTCCTTTAGACATTTTATGCACTGGTTTCAACTCATGGAAACGAAATACACATATACACACAAAAGCTGTGTTAGATGTCAAAGACTTACCTTAATATTAGCACCCTGGTTAGTTGTAAGTTATAGCAAAAACATACGAAATACATTTCAAAGAAACGAGCTGTATTTTACACTAAGTACATTGCTTACTAACGTTGGTCGAGCCCCAACTTTAACTGTAAAATGTCTGGAAGACAAGTCCAGACTGTATAAATATTTAAAGGCCATTTTACTTCACACGTTCCATTGTTACTCACTTTACATCCGCAATATAAAGCATAATCACAGATTCGTTAAGTTACAAAAAGCCACTAAAATACAGCATCACCTGTCTGACAAAGGCTCGTAAAACTAAAAATAAATACATTTACTCACCTATGGTAGATATGTATATATCGTAATATCTCTCATCACAGTACCTGTGCACTATACACGTTTTGCCTACATTAGAATCACCTAAAACTAATAGTTTATACGTTGCAGAAAAATCTAAAGCCATTTTTTGTTTACTTTGTTGTTGGTACGCGAGCGATGGCTCAAAACATAGGTGGAACTGTCAAAGTGAGAAAAATCAATGAGGGTAAGTGCGCATGTGCGGGGTCGCCCGTTGTCTTACCTTGCAACAAGTAAGTATAACTACTAGCACGGGCTTGTTCACCCGGGGTTTCCTTGCACCGGTCACTGACATTGTAATAAACATGGCGAAGTATTCAAAAGACGCTGTATGCGCAACGATATTTTATTTAAGAAATTTGTTTGTCTGATTCTGGTTCTGACGAAAAGTAACTACTATGATGCATACGTTGATATCGAAGCAATATATTTGTTATTGAATTTTCACATATTTTGATACACCAGTTAAGTTATTGATTAGTTTCGTAGACTGAGCTCTAAGTCTGCCTCAGATACGAGTGTATTTGCTAAAGCCCTCGCCGTCCTCTGCTATTTCCGATGGTGATTTAATAATATTGAACGAGACAAAACAAATTAGGTCGAATGGATTGACCTCGTAAACAATGGGTATTTACGAACAGGTCAGGTACGATTCTCTCGCGGTCTAACAATGTAATTTCTATTTATTACCAATTTACTTTTAAAAATAATTTATAGGTTATGTTCAATGCATACGTCTAGATACTAAACGTTGCAGGTGACACAGATGCGACCACTCCTCAAAAAAAAATAATTATTTTTTTTATTTTTAAAAACGTTTCCCTCCTCTAGGAATTTCTTCTGTGTCGTGGGTGCGTACAAACATACACAAGACACCCAGTCCCGTAACAACAATTTGTGGATCACACAAAGTGTTGTTCCGTGCGGGAATCGAACCCGTAACATGTTGGGCGATAGCCACCTTGCAGTCAAGATGTTTTGTTGACTAATATTCACATGCCATAACATTAAGGTTGGAGTTTTTTTATAATTAATGCATTAAAAACATAATTATCAGTAATTTAGTAAGTTACAATTATTAGTCTTTTCCCCAAAAGCTAGGCGCCTTCCGAAGGTTTGTCCTTTGGAAAAACAAAATGAAAGTATGCCATTTTACGAAAACATTCAAAAAAGGCACAATGGCGGTACCACTAATAGTGATATTTGCTAGACTTCCTAAAGGTATAAGGGCACTAGGTGCTATGATATACATATTTATATTTTATATACATATTTATCTACGTGGTCCCAAATCTTGGTAAAAAGTCAACAAGAATTCGAGACATGAGAGTAGTTCCGTCACCGACCTTCTGTATTTAATATGACCGAGGCTCTAGATGTCTTATCTCACCCTTTGTTTCGTGTCGTCTGCCGTTCAAGGTGCCGCCAAGGTTACCAAATAAATGCTCTTACTTTTTTTGCATTTTCTCGATTGTGTGCAGGAATTTGTAATGGCTTCATCTTTGTTTGTGTAAAATATTTCACTCCGAGTGTTTGTCGTCAATGTCTTTTTGTCTTCTGTCACTTTTTTGTAATTATTGTTATTACGTACAGTATATTAAAAAAAACTCTGGCAACTTTTGTTAAATTTAAGATTTCTTCTAAAACCATGAAAGCGTACATCTATTGAGCAGTTGCTATTTAGTAGCTTGTGTGTCTGAATAGGCTTATAATTAGATTTTGAACATAACGCCCACGACTAAGTACTTGCGAAAAACGCTAAAATTTGTGTGTGTGTGGAATCCCCACATACAACTTTTTTTTGTCAGGGGAAAATTATCAAATGACTTCTCCCGCTCAGGGTTAGGCGAGAGAGTGTCAGACTCTTACTGACTAAAACCCCCCCGTTCCTTCTACTGCTCAGGGCCGAGGCCGCGGTGACTCATTGCGCTTAACCCGCAACCCTGGCTGAACATCAGCTCTATAGGGCCCCGTCTGTGGTGGTCCATTGGCTCTTTGGGGCGCGCGCGGAACGCTACGCGCCGTACGCTCGGGTCTGGTTCTGGTCGGCGGCTGGGACGCGAGGAGGATAGTTCCCTCTCGATACCCGCATGCACCCTGCACAGTATAAATAATGAGGATGACAAAATCACTACAGCCAAAATTAAACAATTTAAGGTCTGCACACCACAATGGGGCCCAACAGGGCTGATGTTCAACCGGGATTGTTAGACAAGAGTAACTTATTACTCCTGTCTCACAATCCTGTAGCTTACAAGAAGTCCTCGGCTGGACCACGAGAATATACAGATGTTTTTTTGTCGGTAAGAGTCTGATACTCCGCCTCCCCTCACCTTACGGTGAATAAAATAACATCATTATCAAATCACTATAAAATATCGTCAAAGGGCTTCCCTCGCCCTGGGGAGAGAGATGAAATTTTCGGCCCTCAAAAACAAAAGGTCTGCATGTCACAAAGAATTACAATAAAACATACTTAGCATGCTTGTTGCTAACAATAAAAACTGCTCAATAGCACGCTTTTTCGCATGCTATTTTAAAGCACCTTTTGGAATTAAGCATCTACACATTTATGAAGTTTAGAAATTTACCTATAAAACGAACGGTAAAAAGCCTAATAATTTTGTTAAAAAGAACTGTAATTAAGTGAAGAAGATCAAAAGTAAAGAAAAGAAAAAGTCATGATCAAAAAGGTCAAAATTATTCTATGTGACCATAGTTTTGCGCAAAGTATTAGTTAGCCTGATTGATGATTTTCAATCAAAACTATTTGTACAGAGAAGACAAATGCCTATATTTTAAATAAAGCAAGATACCTACCGGTGAAAATTAAATACACAAATGCGTTCTTTATGTCATACGGCAGCAAATTAGCTGGCTAATTGCTTGATAGTAAGCAATCGCCGCCGCCCACGGATACTCGCAACACCAGAGAAGTCACAAGTGCGTTGCCGACCTTTTGAGGATTTATTGATTGGAGAGGGAGGGGACAGGGTAAGAATTTCGAGATGTAAAAACGAACATGCAGACAGTTTACCTCAACATGTATGATGAGCAAATGAGCAATTGACTTTACAATTTTATTATAGGTACAATACTAGTTTGTATCGACAAAGAACTAATAAAGCTTGTTGAAACTGTAATATGTTACGTATACTGACATCTTATTGGAAACGATAAACCGTCAAGGCTGTTGACCTTGAACGGAGACGCAATGTTTACCGTAGGTCAGTGACGCCAATTATGTATAATGCTGCCGCCTGGTGCCACTGCTTAGCAGTACCTATATAAGACCGCTCCGATGTTAAAGAAACCCTATATGGAAATAATGACTAATCAAAGCGAGAACCGTTAGGCATTATTAGCATCAGCCGAGAAGCATAAGCTATTGACCTACTTAACAAAAGCGACAATTCTGATATTAGATACTTAAGTTTTGCCATACCTAGTTTTGGTATGTAGGCTACCAATGTAGTGACTATGATACTCATTGACATCAAAATGTTTCTTAATAAAGTGTCAATCATTGTCGTTACTGAGAACCGCAGGTCAATTGAGCTAAGTTATTTGTCAGCAGTTTCGCCACTCACCTTTTATGTCTGCTCAGGTCGGAGTAAGGTGTAAACGTGCCATAGTGTGTAACGTGCACACGCGACATGCCGGGTCGTAAGATGTGTTGGCGCCGTGCAGGAAGAACAACGACTTCATTTGTCAAACAACCGCAAGCCAGGGAGCGACATGCAGCCGCCGGCGCAGCTTGATGTATTACAAATGGCGGTAATTTTGAAGTTCGCGTTCCGTTTGCTATTCAAAACAACATAAACTGCCACCGTTCTGCGTTTCCCTATAATTTCACTGTAAATGACGAATGATCTGTTGTTTAACTGCCGCTCAGGTGTATCCGAATGGATTTGTTGTAACACTCCGCCTACCTAAGTAATAAACTGTAATTTTGATAATTTACTCAAAGAGAAAGCCCGGGATCGTATTGCTTGCAGTTTGTTTATTGAAATTTAGACACCTGCATTGCCCTGGAGCACTAGAAATGTTTTGTTTTATCACGTTAATAACTGCAGAAAAGCTATCATTATCGCCATAAATATGTGTAAGTGCAATAGAAGGACATGGTCTTGATCTTATTCATGGTATCAGATCGTTAGTGCCTATACAAAGGAACCAATTAGTTGTTAGGAAAACCGCGAGTATTCCGTAATGATTAATGACTGGCCAGTTTGCTGGTCACTATCGTCATCGCTTCACTATAATATCTATTAGACTATCACTTTCGGTCGCCGAGTGCTCTATTGTCTGCGATATGATCTTTTTTCTTTTAATGAGCCTGTAGATCCGGCTGATCGTTACCTAATCGGGTACTGACGCACTTGTGGGAACTTCGGGTTAAGCAATTTATTTCACACTAATCTTGGATCGCAACATTGCCTGCATGGTCGCTGTTTCGTAACTTTTGAGGATATCGTTTCAAACTAATTCCAGGAATCGTTCGAGCTGTAGATACTGCTGATATATGATATAATCAATGCTTTGTTTATTTATAAATTAAGAGGTGATGGTATTTGGAGAAAACAGCTATAGAATAACTTTTATAGTTTTTAGGTTATTTGTCCCTGAATGTAAATGACCTCTGTCTGTCGGGTTGTAGTGGTTGTTTCTTTGTTTTAAAAATGGCGAAGATGCAGCCGGAGAGTTGCATATTACATGCGATTGTAGATCATATCCAGAACCAGGAAAACGATTTCCCTAAATATTCCATATGACTCAGTTTTGTTCTACAGTATCCAGTCTACTATAAGCGTAGCTTTTCTAAAAACTAGTAGATACTGGTCCATACCCGTATTCGTGTGCGTATGTGTATCAAATGCGTTTCCTTGAATTTTTTGAAGAAGACAATAAACAGACGTTGTTTGTTATTCATTTCGATTTACTGAAGAGATCTTTAAATCTGAATTTGAATTATTATCTATCTCTTTGGTAAATGTACCTACCTACCTACCTAAAGTTGCTAAATAGATGAATTCGCCTTACGAAGAAAATAGAACTTAACATGGATCAACTAACATTTTAACTCAGGAAGTGTTTTTATTGTGGTCGGGGTTGGAGTGAGTGAGCATTTATGACAAGTTTTTAAGCAATTTTACTTATACGAGGTATCGTTTTACGAATTTCAAACCATAGCACCTAAAAGTTCGATTTTTTAACAGAAATTAGGCTTTATGGGATCAAGGGACGATTATGGCTATTGTTGGATACATGGCTTACTATTGTGCAGGACCTAGGAGTTATGCTGTTGAGTTTGTTGTTAGTTTGTAATTCCTAGGTCCTATGTACCATCAACAACTCTTATGTACCATCAAGAAGTCTGTCTTAGAATCGGTCAAATATCTTATCGTTAATAGGTAGGAATAAGTAATTATACAATATAGTTAGAATTACCCTCATACGCAATGATTAGTTTCCAGTTGAAATAGCCAACTTTGAACTCTATATTTATGTAGTTTCCACATATCGATGCTATACCTACAGTCCTATCTACAGTCTACCACGAATACTTTCATAAGAACATTGACTTCAAGTCATGCACAATGCAGTTGATCAATTTCTATGCATCGGCCACACAGTATTTTCTGTCTCACATGGATCTTTTGTGTAACTCGGCACGTTTGCAAGTGTAGAGGTCGGTAGCTGAGGTCACCCCTTGGCGACGGGTTCCGGGAACATATGACATGTCTCTCATTGTTCGCAAATTGTTCCGCACAAGGTCCCTGTGTAAATGTCAATCCGGCGCCGGCGCCGACGCGACCACCGCCAGTCGGTTAACAGAACTGTTTGCTATCGCTAAATATAGAATGTAGATGAGTTTACATACATTTTATGAGGAAAAAAACTAAAATTTTAAATAAAGAACGTCAATTTTATTTTATACTTCTCTCTTTAAAATGTTCTTAATTTCAAAGTAAGAAAAACATTTGTCTTTGTAGGAGTAGATAGTTTAGAGAAGGTAAGTAAGTAAATAATACAATTCCTTGAAATAGAAATCCATAAAGTAGGTATGATTGTAAATTAAACACTAGCCGACTTCACAAGAGGATACTTGGCATCGATATAATCAAAACTTGTTTGATTACGGAAAGAAATTAATATTAAGAAGAGATTTAGTTTGTCAATGATGCGTTATATCGGACGCACACGAACCACAAAATTGTTGATCAAGTAAACACCAAGTAAACACTCGTTGTTATATCAATAGAAATCAATCTTAATAAAACTTTTAATTTTTTTATGCATAACAATTAGAAAAAGGAAAACCTAAAACTGTAATATGTAGAAACAATAACAATATATAAAGAAAGGTATATAAGTACAGCAGAATGGTAGGTACAACTTCGCTAGAATTACAAGAAGACGGTCGTAAACAAATTTTCGCACGTTACACATATAAATACTGAGTAATCGAAGAACATATTTATTTGTTTAATGACTCGCTTCGCAAAGAACTAGTCTTGCACGGGCCAAGAAACGACTTCTATTTGTGTACAAGATTGATACCAGTTGGTATAAAGTACTTCGTATCAAGGAACACTTATGGCTGAATACAGTGGATAGATAAATGCGATGAAGCCTGTTAATCATACGTTAGTCAATGTAGGTATCTATCATCTAAGTTACTGCCGATGTAATTTAATAGTGTCCGTCCTTTTAGCACTTAAATGGATAATATATCAAAGCCAAAGATCGACTCTTCAATGGGACGTGTAATGAATACTAGTGTGCGTTAAGGAAGTTGCGGTACCACTCAATAACATTGCATTATTAATTACTAGATGTTCTTCTTTAATAATTTACTTGTATTTATAGTTTCTTTCTTTACATATTAAAGCAACTTCTACTACTAGTACTTACAAATTACTTTCTTTGGTTTTATTATCCTTGTAAGAGATCTCATCATTGTTATCAAATGCCATTTGTTCAAGCTCTCTGCTGAAAATAGGATCTCTTTAAAAGGAGATAGCGACTTGTTAGAAAACTAACCTAGGACTGGTAAGACCATAATCAATAAGATTATACCATACCATAAACCAGAACGAATGAATAAAATATGTTACGATTAACCTAGCAGTAGAGAAAAATAAAAACTTGCAAAGTAACAGACAGCATTTAAGTAGGCGATTTATTATATTTGTGCGATTAAAAAAAAAAATAAGTTTAAAAATAGAATTATCATCGACAGCCTGTTTTGGTCCACTGATGCACAAAGGTCTTACTGCAGGCTACTGAGCTCAATATTCAGCTCTTCTCATCCAACTGCTGTCGGCAACCCTGCAAATATCGTCAGCTGCAGCAGAAGGTATTCTATATGGATTGTTAAAAATTTTTAACAGCTTGTCTCTGTACCTATATGCAGTAACAAATATTATAACTGTCAAAGTATATGAGAATATTTCGATGTATGTTTGTTATTCTTTCACAAAAACGGATGCACCTATTTGGTTGAAATTAGGTATGTCGATAGGTCTATTCTCTGGGTTAACAACTACTTTTTATCTCCCACGCTGGCGAAGCTGCGGCTGGAAGCTAATTGCAAATTACTACAACAACTACTTTTTATCTATTATATTATATTCTTGAATATCTATTTTATTCTTTATTATATGCAAGTACCTATATTGATCAGTCATTTCCTTTTTCCTTGTGATTGGTTTGAGTGCAGATCGTTTCTGAATAATTTCTATGGAACTATCTCCATTGATAGTGTACAATGAGCGAATCGTGCCCCATTGAAGGGTTGGCGGAAATACGACAAGCAGGTACAGAGCGTTTATATGACAGACAAATATGACAGATCGTTTTTCATGATAATATGATCTTACGAAACGTGATTTTGAAGTTGATTAGTTTCTAAGATATGTTATAACACGTAATGGCAAAAGTTATGAGAGACTTTTTAGCAACCGTTTTAGCTTCTTTTTGAAGTTGATTGGTGATGTTTTAAGGATATAAAAGTTCTTCCGAGTCATTGTTTGTATTTGATTTCCTCGCAATTTGGCTTTTCTTCACCGTGCATCGCGGCGAATATTGTTATGAAGATAATTGATATTGTAAAAGTATTCACTTTTGTTTCTATTGGTCGTTAAATATTTTCTACGTTAGTTTTTGTTTCAATAGATCTTTGATGTACAGATATTTACTGGTTACAATTTTATTATAATGTATAGAGACCTCTTTTTGAGGGGTATGTAAATCATCAAATATCTTCTCTCGGGTGAGGCGAGTGCATACTCTTACTCCGCAACCTCGGCTGTTTGAGACCACTAATTAGAATAAATTTATATTTCTGCTTACACGGTTTTTTAATTTACTTAGTTTAACATTAATTTAATTTTTTTTTTATTCTTACGGAATTATGGAAGTAAATGTTGTTCACCTTCCCTTTCTTTCTTGGTTATATTTGCATTTAAATTCTAAAATTCATTAATATCCAAATGTGGTTTCTTAATTGTACTGTCTACTGCCGCTTCTTTAAGCCTGAACCTTCTAACAACCACCCATACCAATCTAGGTATCTTTTAAATCACGAGACAGATGTGGGTGACAATTTCAACGATAGTTTGAACCCCAAGATCGGATACATTGGACGGACGA